TTTGTCATAATTGTTGCTCTCATAATTTCAACTTTTTATGTCAGTTTTGACTTTTGTCATACTTAGTATGTCATAATTTCAACGTCATAATTGTGACATTTAAGCCAACTCTTTACATCATAATTTCAATGTTTTATCTCATAATTATGTCTCTCTATCTCATAATGTCAAACTTTGTCATAATTGTGATTAGTATGTAAACGAAACAATTTTTTCTTACGTGGTGGAAAGATGCTTCCATACACATAAGCACACTTAATCTAATGAGTGCAGACTCTCAGGAACTGCTTGTTTTTATCTTTTATTCCAGTCCCCTCAAACTCCCGAACATTTATTGTTAAATCAGAGCGACGACCCTGCAAACCGTAGCTGCTTTGTGACAGATCAGTAAAAAGGAAGGACAAGAGATTTAGTTGTAAGGAGAAGGAGAAGCCTTCAGGGTATCCCTTTCAAAAGTGTAAATGAATCATGAAATCAGCCTAAAACGGAAGAGCGCGTTGTGTAACAGTTGGCAAAATGGCAGGTTTTTTGTGACTGCTGTGGAGGATTCGAACTCCAGAAGATGTTTCTGGTTGCCAACGCGTTCTGGTGCCGACTGGCCTCCGCTCAGGCTAAGTTTGGCTCTCACGCCAAAGCCGATCAGCATGTGCGGCAGCCCACACGTGTGGCATAAGTATACAGTATGTATCAACCAGAAGAAGCAAAGGCTGAGAACATGCATGGAAGTCACTGAAAGTCAGGAGGACACGGTCTGTTACGCCAAAACTTTGTGACTCGTCCTGTCCCGTCTTCCTTTACCAGCTGCAGACTGAATCCAGTCGTGTAACAATGCGTCCTCGGCCATCTGAAGCTGCTCGGCCATAAACCCCTATAAAATTAGTAAAAGATGGCTTTTAATAAATCTTTTTATATGGCTTTTAATGAAAAATACTTTTTTCATATTTCACCCTAATATCAAAATAAATTAAGAAATGTATATTCATTTTTAAGAAAAAAATAAAACAAAAGTACACAAAAACTATTTTGAAAGTGTTTTACACAAAAATGACATATAGTGTGCTATCAAATATATTTTCTTTTTTCTTTACAATTAATTTGTAGCATTTCAATTAAACTGTAGCATTTTTATATTCCTTTTATATTATGATTAAGTTTTTTTGTAGGATTTTAGACTTAATTTGTTCATTTTTTTAATTATCATTAAAATAAATTGCATTATTTAATGTTAAATAATTATATCATTATTTGAAATGATTTTTATTACTGCATTAAAACAAAAAAAAGTTATTTAAATGTTTACTAATTATATTAATGTTATTTAAGTCATAACTATATTGTCTTTCTTTATGCTGATTTTAATGGAATAAAAACATTATATCCAGAAAGATTTTTATTACTCTATTAAAATAAATTTAATTAATTTGTTAAATGCAGAATTATTATATTAATATTATTTACATTTTGTCCTTCATTTAAAAATGCCCAGAAAGAATTATTTTTATTACTGTATTAAGATAAATTTTAAACGTTGAATAATTATATTAATATTATTGAAATCGTAAATGTACTGTCTTTCATTTATGCTGTTTTCAGTTAAAAAAATGTATATTATGCCCAGAAAGAATGAATTTTGTTATAATATTAATTGATTTCTTTTCTTTTTTTTACATATTTTTGCAGTATTTTGCACAACAATGACATGTAATATGCTGTTAAATGTATTATCATAATTTTCATTTGCATTAAAAATAGCATTTTACAATCCATTTACATTATAATTCTATTTTTTATAATCAAACCTCATTCTCAATGCAATGAGGAAAAAAAATGTATTTTTCAAATTATTTTTAAAATAGCATTTTGTCTCTATGCTGATTTTAATAAAAAAAAGAATGATTTAATTAGTGTATTAATAAATATTTCAATTTTTTATGAATGTATTATTTTACTGTATTTTGCATAAACTTACATGAAATGTGCTGTTAAATCTATTATCATCCGTTTTGTTTACAATAAATTTGTACAATTTAACCAGTTAATATGATTTACTGTAGCAATTAAAAATAGCCTTTTTACATTCCCTTTACATTATAATTCTATTTGTATTACTTTAATCAAATCTCATTCTCATTACTGTGATGTAAAAAACTAATTATTAATACAATTAATAATTAAAATAATTATATTAATATTATTAAAA